TATGTATGTATATATATACATATACATATGTATATACGCAGTGTGTGTGTGTGTGTGTGTGTATGTGTGCGTAGTGTGTGTGTAGGAAATATATCTTACTAAATACATACTGGTATGTATGCATGTATGTATGAATCTATATAATTTGATGTATATACGTATATATATATATATATATATGTATATATACATGCGTATGCATGTATGTGCGTGTGTATTGTTTTTTTTGTATCTATATACATGTGTATTTTACGTGTAATAAACTATAAACGACTGTTATTTTCCATACCGGTATGAATATAATCGCCATACAAGCACACTATTTAAGGCACATATCTGTTTGTGTCTTGAATGTTATCTGTGTTTGTATTCTTGTTCTCATAGATGCAAAATATTTTAGTTCAACTCTATAGTTCACAACAACATTTCAGAACACGTGCAACTCAGATACACCTGGATGCCTTTAGTCCGTAATAAAAGAACCACCAAACTGCTAGTATTGCCGATGCCCATAAACCTTATTCATTTCCATGAGAAGCTTCAGTATAGTGTTCTACCACAGAGCGGAGTTCATCCTTGCATCTACTTTTAAAGTCTGGCCTACCCTAGCTAGAAATAAAATGGGAAGCGACCAGAACCAACATATTTTCTTGAGATCAGGACTTCAGCTGACTTAGACTTGAGGCTTAGATATGTGGATATATAGTAAACACAGTATTGTCGCATAAAAAATAGTATTCATTTAAATATTATTAATACATACGTGGTTGTACTTTCCGCCACGCCCACTTCACGCCTTTTTTTATAGCTTTGTTCAAACTGTTATCAACTGATCATCACCGACAAGGCGAATGAGTAATAACGACAGCACGCTGGGGCTCTGGTGCAGTGGTGAGTGTTGTCAGACTGGTCTGTCAGTGGTGTGAGAGTCACCGTGAGAGTGTGAGGGGCCTGGCCCCGTCTGCCGTCTGGGCCGGTCCCTGCGGCCGGTCAATCCCCCTACGGCCCAATCGCACCAATGAAAATTTTTCTGCGGGATCTGCTGAGATCGGTATTGCAATCTTTAAAAATCAACAGGACAGGTCAGATTCCCCCGATAAGATCGTTGCCAGACAACCAATACGATAAATGCAGACTACATACAGAGTACTATCAGTACGTAGTGTACTATTGATTTATGTGAATATAATAAATATATGTAGTTTTGTGTAGATTTAAAGGAGCTTTTTTTCTACAGGAACTCTATGAGTGTACGGGAAGTACATAGAGTCTGGTCTATGCATGCGTATGAAGCCACCTACAAAGGCACTCATAACAAACGCGTATCACTTTAGGCAAGCTGTCTTATTACTGTACTCCTCATATTAGAGCGCAAAAGAATTAAACCGATAGATTACTACATAGCTGCACGATGAGGGTGAAGGCAACAAATGCGGGACCCACTCCAGGGTCAACACACAATATACATGCACAATCACGTGGGAAGAGCCCCAGAGTCGTAATAGTTCGGTCTAAAAGTACAATTGCACACAACACGAACAAGCGGAGCAGTCTTTCACAACCACAACAAAAACAAACAATAACTAAGGAGAATTATGATAACAACTGCACGATTGATATATACGAAAAAAATGAAGACGGGGCAGGTACAGGTGCAGATAAAGACGTAAGCGAGGAGATTGATCTCAACGCTGAAACTGGCAAGCAATTGAAAAACAAGGAAACACATACAACGGTTGAGGCAGAAGCACATGAAGCCTCGAATACGGAAAGGACAGATATCCCACCCAGGCCCTTTCATATACAGAATGTACAGGCCACTTCTATCAGTCTATTACCAATGGAGAGCGATGAAGTACCTGGGACAACTTTACCTGATGAAGTCAGACTGGGCCATCTGCCATCGGGACAGGGCCTGCATAACTACTTGATGCATGGGGCGGCGGGGAAGTATGTTTATACTATTTTTACCTGTGTTGTATGGTATAGTTTATCGTATAATACACTAATATTTATAGCGTGCTAAGATCGTGTGTATAGTTGCATTCGGTTAACTTGGGAGGATATTTACCGCTGGGTATCTACACATGCATATATATA